CGGAGCTGTGGCTAGTCTCCTCAGAACATGCTGATGTGGAGGAGGCCACAGCTACCACCAGGCTGCAGTGTCGGGCAGATGTGCTTCCAAGCCCTGTCTTAAGAGACATTACTTCAGCGGGCTAACTGGCAGAATGCTTAGTCACTCAGATTGCTGTTGAGAACTCGGGGTCTTTAGTGGAAAACAAAAAGCAGACGAGTGCTCTCTCTCTTTACTCTGATTGTTTTAGGGCACAGCTTGCAGGTGATGGACAGGACAGTCTATTGACAGATAACCCTGAATCGTTAGGAAACAGAAAAGATGTGAGGAAGGCGGGCATGGGCTGCAGGAGCAAGAGATAGAAAGAATGTGGGGGTGAGTGGGGTGTGGCCACCACACGCTCTGTCGACCTCCCACGTTCATCACGTGAAACAGCCGAGGTAATCCTCCAGGGCCCGGGAGCAAAGAGTTCCCCAGATCCTGGCAAGTATGTGTCCTGTGTGTCAGCTGCTGTCTGTCTTTTGGTAGAGGATGTTTCTCACATGTAACATGACAACTGTCCATTGCTCCTAGCTCTGGGATAAGCTCCGAGTCACTGGGCGGTAGACAAGGTTCCTCTTCTCCGTGCTGAGAAGGCATGAGAAGAGAAAGGAATTGCAGGGTTCTTCCAGCTACAGCCACTTGTCCCAGCAGACAGTCACAGAGAAATGTGTGCCCCTCCTTCAGTGCCCCATTTGTGAAAGTGCAGGGTGACCACACCTAAGTAAGCCTCCTGATTTTACCTAACAGAAGTGTTGCTTCTAGATCCCCTTTGAGTGATGATCTCTGGTGGCTAAGAAGAGCTCATATGTAGTCGCCACACTGAAATCTGTATGAAATCAACACAGGCATCTCTTCCCATAGGTGCCAAGGAACTTGGCCAAGGCTTCAGCTGAAGAGCAATTGAAGCCAGCTGTTGCCAGTGCCCTACTTAAGGCAGGGCTCCTGAACTCTCCATGCGACAGGAAAGCTTGGGAGGGGTTCAGAACCTCGGTTTGTCTCAGGTCTTGGTTCTCCACCATAGAGAGGTCTTTCCACCCTTGTTCCTGGTTTCTTCCATGCCAAGGTGGACCAGCAGAACCTAGAAGAACCTGGGTTAGGAACCAGTCAGTTCTTCAGATGGCACTTAACCTTTTTTATCAGGTGTCCCAGACAGCCTTTTCAGGGCAGGAGGGGAACAAATTACATGGGCCAGGAAATTCAGGTTGCCCGGTCTCAGGGCATCTTATCCCTTTGGACCATTTGAGTGGCTAGCTCATTAAGTTGGGCCAGCTTTTAGGGCATAGTCTCGCCTGCTTCCATCAGCTCCAGTTGAGCTGATACTGCAGTGGCTTTTCCCAGCCATGGTGTCCTAAGGGAAAGGAAGCTTTATCTCCTTGGCAGGGTATGGCAACTGCAGCACACAGCACTGTGCTCCCTGGGTTACAGCAAGTGATAAGCGCTTCTCAAGTTAGTGTGATAAATAAGAGATGCAGAGCGGCCTGGGCACGTTGCCTGTCTCATCTGTTGAACCTAATAATTTGGAAACATCTCTCCAGAGTCTTGAATTTCAAGTCGGAAATGAGTCCTTTAGTCTTCCTTCAGATTCCTTTTCCAAGACTCTGGCTCCATTTTCCCCTAGGTCAGGCACAATGTGCGTTTGCTTTTGGTGAGAAAAAAGAGGCACTCCTTAAAAACAGATGGCTGAGTATCAGCATTTCCGACTGTGTGCCCACATAAGTCACAACCACATACATTCTCCCACTCACCATTTCAGTTCTACCCAGCAGGAGCATGGCTGCTGTTCTGCTGTGCGATTAGCTGCTCCTCCAGATTCTAACCCCGTGGAAGACGTATTTATTATGTCATTGCAAAGAACAGTAGATGCTAACTGTTGTGGACTTCGGCCACTGTTGTTTCTGTTTGCTATTAAAAGCAATACAGCCAAAGCCATGCAGCCAGTTGGTGGTAAAACCAGGATGCAAATTCTGAATTCTCTAATATCTAGAGTTCATCACAGCAAGGCTTTCTGCCCGCGTGACACATGAGATGAGGAAGAGATCCCTCACCACCCTCCCAGCCTCTCTGTGCAATGGTTTAACGGCATTAGAGGGAGAGAATCACTAAATGACATCAGCCTTTAATTCTGTGCCTGAGATTTCTAGAAGTATGGCAGACACACTGAAAAAGCCCTTGGAAGCAGGGAAGGCTAGAGTCTTTCACCCGTTATTAGGAAGAGCAGAGCACATCATCGTGTATCATCTGAATGTCAGTCTGAGGCCACACCACTCTGACACACACACTCTCATCTGAATGTCACAAAGAGATCTGTCTGTCCACACTACTCTTTTATTTAGTCTATAAACACCTACCCAGTACCTAGGATAGGCTGGACATTGCTGTAATTACTTTGAAAAGGCCTAAACAGAAGACACCTTGCTGTCTTTTAGAACCACACAGTCAAGTACAGTGCATCTACTTTGAAGCCTGTTGTCTGCCCAGTGATAATGACACTCGTGTGGGAGCTCTGAGGACCCAAGGCATCCCTTACTGCAGGGACAGTAGGAGGCTCGCTGCAGCCTTCCTGCAGGAGGCAGCCCTTATGCCTGGATATAGAGGCTGGGATTGAAATCAGACAGTGTTTGCATCCTGGTTTTACCACCAACTGGCTGTATGGCTTTGGATGGTTACATGACACATCATGTCTCAATTCTGTCACTTACACAGTGCAAAATGCTATCCACACGGTCTGACATATAACATGTTCTGTAAAACTGATCACCACCGCTGTGGTCATCACTGTCAGCACCACTCTCTCATCATCATCATCATCATCATCATCATCATCATTTGCCAGACCTTAATTCAGAGTGAAATTTATTGTTACACTAAACCTTAATTAATTCTGTCATGTTATAGGTATTGTAAAGAAAAATAATTTGGACAGGAGTTCAGTAAGAACTGTGTAGTTCCTTTCTTGAGCAAAAGACAAAATAGCTAATCCCAAAATCAACTTTAGCTGCTTCAAAAGCCACAGGTTCTTTAGCAAGAGATCCAAAGATTGTGGGACAAAGTTTACATGGTTTTTCTATAGCCACAGTACATTATTATCTTTAAATAATTAAAAAGTAAACATGTTAAGCATGTTTTAGTTGCTAACATGGCAATATCAGTAGACAAAGCCCAATAAATCTCTTTGGGGAGTCTTCATAATTTTCTAGCATCTACAGGGGCTCTGAGACCAAAATGTCTGAGAACCTCTTCCAGAGACCTCTAAGCTAGTGAGAGACACTGTCTCAAAAAACAAGGTGAATAGCTCTAGGAGTGACAGCCGAGGTTGTCCCCTGACTCTGCACACTCACATATGAGCATATACACCATTACACACATGAACACACACACACACACACACACACACACACACACACACACAAATGTTACAACAAAACGCAAGCAAAAATATCTGTAGCAGCTGAACTATTTTTCTGTTTATATTAAAAGTAGTAGCTCTAGACATACTTTGTCTCAAGCAGGGTAGATTTGTAGCTAGACTTCATGGGTTTCCCTATGAAGTATCATCATGCCATCCATTTCCTTATGCTTGGGCAGCAGCTTTCTCTGGAGAACACCAAGGGGCTGCTGTCCTCTCCAGAGCCCTCCAAAGCCTGTGTGTCTAGGATTTATCCGTGGAAGGTAGGATGGCTTTCCTTCCATAGACTTTGGATTCTGCCCACCAAACCCCCATCAGAAATCTGAGGTACTTAGAAGAATCCATCTTTCTACCTTGGTGAAGTCGTTAACAATGTAGATAGCCAGTTGATGCTGTAGCGCCTCCTTTTGTTTTCTTTCTTGGTTTTTGAGACAGTCTTGCTATCTAGCCCAGGCTAGACTTAAACTCACAGTCCTGTCTCAGCTTCCGGAGTGCTGGGATTAGAGGCATGAAACACTATGCCTAGTTTACCAAGCCTCTTAAAATACGTAACCCATGAAAAATAAAATTCGTAGTAATATTAACAGTAATAGTAATGTGACTAAGTAATAGCACATCCCAAAGCCCAACTGAGATAGTTTTTATGTTCACAATTTTGTATTAACCAATATATAATTAACTTAATTTATTTGAATAGTGAGCATTTATCTTTACATATTTTTCACTGTTGTAAATTTCATGAGTTGATAGTTGTTACCACTAACAATGTTGCAATGTTTGTCTCCATGCTGAACTTCCTGATAAATAATAAATTAGGAATGTTATGGGTGAATAATATATATATTATACACACACATATATATACGTGTATATATATATATTCATATGTATATGAGTAGTTCTAAATTGAAATGACAGAGAACCTTCCTCTCAATTCTGAACCATGCCTCTAAGACTGGATGTTGGGGGAAAGTGGGGTGCAAGCTCCTGGTTAAGGATGTGGGCTCTAGTCATCAGGCCCCCATTTAATGACAGGCAACTGCTGTGTACAAAGCAAGCATCTACTTTCTCTGGGGTTCAGTCAAGTCATAGAATTTGGTTCTCCATCCATGGTGTTGCCCATCCCTTGAAGGGTAGGATGCACTAATTAATAGGAAGTTGGGTTGTCTTGAGAATGACTAGGAAACAAGCATGCCCTTCCCCTGCTGCCACCCATACTGTTACTTGTTTTGGGCCCTAACAACAGGGCGTTTTGTAGCATCCCCTTGCAGTACATCACTGATGCTGTTTGTTAACCCGGAGTCCCTGTCGTGTGTCAAGCTGCACTCACATCATGCCAGGCTGACTCCTGGAGAGTGCTTAGCATAGCATGTGCCCTGTGTGTTGACTAAAGGATCAGCTAGACAGGCTGAAACTAAGGCCCTGGCCCCTGTTTTCTGTAAGAACAGTAACTCGCATCCTGGGGGAGGGGTGCGTGTATGTTCTCGTACTCGTGTTTGTGTTTGGGAGGGGGTCATTGATTAGGTATGTGGTCCCCCTTTAACTCCTAACACAGTCTCGAAACCTCCCACAGGCTCCGTCCATGCCACATCAGTAGCAGCCTCAAGAGTGGAGCAAGCACTGTCAGAAGTGGCCTCATCTCTGCAGAGCAGTGCCCCCAAGCAGGGTCCTTTGCATCCCTGGATGACGCTGGCACAGATCTGGCTCCATGCAGGTACTGCTCTTACTTAACCCTTGACCCATGGGCCCCTTCATCTACCCATCCTTCCCCACAACCTGCTGCTGAGGCTGAAGCTGAGGCTGCTGGCTTTTGCAGGCACCTGTTCAACTGTTTACCCAGAACCCCCCAGCCTTGGGGAGAACTCAAACCTTTTGTGACCAAGCACCAACCCGATATTGCATCTGTACAGGGACCGTGAGCTACCCTGCATCTTCTCCTCCTTCCACAATGACTATACATGACCCAGAGTAGGCATTTGATAGAAAATTGGACTGAGGACCCCTGAGGAATTTGCAGGATGGGGGGGTCATTGTACTGTAAAGGGGCCAGTGCTGTACCCCATGCTATCTCCATGCTAATTCCAGCTGTTCTTTTTCCCAGCTGGGTAGTACCCAGCTCTGCCTTACCTCTTGGCCTCAGCTTACTCATCTACATGGTAGAATAGCACCTGTCTCCTAGGCTCAAGGAGCACAATGCTGGGCACATCTCACCGTTCAGTCTCCGAATCTCCAGGCAATGGGAGCATTGGCAGCATGGATGCCTTTATCAAAGCCAGGGTGGGGCAATATGTGTGTCCCCATGTCCCCCCAAAGGCATGCCTGGTAGCCTGCAGAGAGAGAAACAATAGCAGCAGCCCTGAGGAAGTATGATCCCCTGTGCCCTGGTTCATGTGGCAGTAGCAGGCTGCACAGGCTGCCCACAACTGCAGATCCCAGAGTTCAGTATAGCATGTGAAGTTTGAGCAACCCCTTCTTACTTGTCGAGCTCCCAAGAAAGTGATGGCTGTTAGTATATATATAATTTCTGTTTCTGTGCAAAGTAACCTTCCTCTCGAGTTTTACCACCTCATCTGCATGACCCTGGTAGACCCTTCTTGACCTCATCACCACCAGCGAACATGCTCAGAGCCCACAAGTTGTCCATCTATTCGTGCCATCATTCTCTGGGCCAGTAGTGTAACGTCTAACCTTGTGTGTCCACACTAGCAGACGCACGTGTGAAGGCGTAGCTGATCTGGCTTGCCAGCCACAGAACCTGCCCATCTGCATTGTCTGTGTCAGCATCCTTAATTGACCCATAATAACTGCTGTAAATTAGCAAATTATATTCTTCTAAGTACAAAAGAAAGCTGATTCATACATGTGTGTGTGATCATTCCTTCTCCTCCACCCACTCCCCAAAGAGGTCAAGACAGGCTGCCTCTGAGAGCCAGGACCCAGCAGGAAGGCCATTCCCAGCTTTTTCCAGAACAGCCCAGTCCCTGCACAAGAGTCTGATACTATCTTGCTCAGTCACCTGTGTGGACAGTGATCTCAGAGGATAGAGTGGGATAGAGCGTTAGTTAATGACCAGACCAGGAAAGCCTGACTGGACACACAGAACTGGCACTGGTGAGAGCTGTCTTTCCCATTGGACTTGAAGTCTAGTTTTTTGAAGAGCACATAGTCAGGCTTGCATGGAAAGCTCTTTTACCCACTGAACCACCTTACCAGGCCTTTCTTAGAGCACTTACAGCTGGGTACTACAAAATGCCAGAAAGTTTGGCCTACAGGGTATTGACATCCCCTCCCACCCCACTGTGTCCCCCCCACCACTAAGTTGCCCAGGGCTGTTGCCCCTGATTGCATGGCCCTCCATGACTTCTGGGAAGCAAATTTTACAGCTGTTACTAGAGTAGTGAAGAGCATGACGACAAAGACTGCATTCAGAGCAACTTTTCAATTTCATTGCAGTGGCTCAGAATAATGGCCTTGTTACTAGTTCCTGGGTGTGGCCACTGGGATGGAACTATGGAAAGCAGATGCTAATCTTGCCTTCCAGCCTCTGGGCAGATGCACATGTGTACATGCAGTGAGCAGAGTGTGTCTCGTGGGTGGATGAAGCCAAGCAGAGTCTCAGCATTTGTGCACTGCCGACTCTTCCCTGTCTGCATGGTCCTTAAGGAGTGACAGGAGAAGAAAATGGGCACCTCCTCCTGAACTGTGGGCTTCACCCTGCATGGCTTGTGCCTGACTGCTCTGAGAAGTAAAATAAGTCACCTCCCTTTTGACAGTTCATGGAGACCAGGTGACATCCATTGTCAGCTCTAACAATTCCAAATCCTATACATTCTGCGGGGTCTAGCGAGCCAATCAGGGCCTGACTTCCAAAGCTGTGCTGTTTCTGTGGTGTTTGCAGGCCTGTTCTTACCTTCTTGGTTTTCCCAGTGAAGTGAGAGTAGCGGATCTTGTTACTGGAGCCTGTGGTGGCGGTGGCCCTGCATTTGAGTCTCTCAGGAAAGAAAGTTCTCTCTGAGACAATACCAGGTTCCAGTCATCTGTATCGGGGTTTCTGGGCTGTATTTCTGATGGCAAGGAAACTGTGAGCATGACTTTTGAGCCTCCAGGACCAGGTCAGCTGGGGCACAAAATGAGGAATGCTTGATTATAGAAGGCCCTTCTCTTCCTGGGTGGTGGGCACCCTCTCCCCTCACACCTCCTTTTTCCTCTTGGGAACCCTGAGCCCGGGGCCACAGACTTCACTAGGACCCCTGATAGTCAACAGGCCTGGGCTGTGCCTGTTGTTCTTTTGTTGGTTAAACCAATGACACAAATTTCTTTAAGTAATTGCAGGTAACACACTTGCATGGTACACACTGAACAGGTGGGAAAGATGTAAAGTGGGAAGGTTCCCCTTGTCCCTGGGCCTCAGTCACCTGCTGCAGACACTGGTGCTAGTTCTGGAACCTTCCAGAGGTTTTACCAGTTCTGTCCTTTGTCCCTGTTGCCCCTCTCCCTTCCCATGTCCTTTTCCAGTGTCTGAGAGGTCATTGTGTGTCAGATCGTGTAGTGCTGACTTACACGTCTTACAGCTATGCAATATAATTCCTTGGTAAGAAGCATCATGGTGTCAGCAGTGTGCTGTGGGTTAGCGTCTGCATCATTTCTTAATGAGGTGCATTAGAGACAGCATTTCAGTAAGTATACTGATTGTCGTTGTTCTGTGTCTCTAAGGTCAGCTCCAGAGAGGGGATCTGATGGGTCAAATGGTGTACACTCTTAAATTTGGATAAATGTAGTCATGTGACCTCCCACAGAGCTGTTCCAATTTCTATTCCAGTCAATGGGATATGACTCTATTTTCTTACCTCCTTGCCAATACCGAGCATTCTCAAAACCCTGGGTCTTGGCCAGTAGATGCATGAAAGGTGGTGCTTTCAGTGGCTGCTTGGGGCTTTTGCCCACTTATCTTCTTAGTATCAAGCATGTCCTTTTCACTCATAAGTCACTTATAATGTGTTGAAGAAATTGTGTTGTGTGTGTGTATGTGTGTGTGTGTGTGTGTGTGTGTGTGTGTGTGTGTGTGTGAGTGGCACATGTCCGAGTGCACATGGAAGCTAGAGGACAACCTTGGCTATCATTCTACATACCTTGTTGTTTCTCTGTTTGTCTGTTTGTCTGTTTGAGGCAGGCTCCCTCACAAGCCTGGACTCACTGAGTTAGGCCAGGGAATTCCAGGAATCTCCCTTTCTCTGCCTCCCAGTGCTGGGATGCTACCAGCATGCCGTCATGTGTGGCTGTTTCCTGGGAGTTAAACTCAGGTACTCAGGCTTATAAGACAAACACTTTGCCGATTGAGCCACTTCCCATTCCTTCTGTTTTCTTGTATTTGCCCCTGACCCCGAGGATTATATTTAATCATCTTTTCTTATAGCATGTGAGTCTCCCATGATACTTAGAAAGCAGCGCCCCAGCTCTTGCTTTTTCCCTGAAAGTGTCAAGAGTCTTATGGCATCGTTTGTACTCAGTCTCCCACAGAGAAGGGCAGGAGGGAGGCACCCCCTGCCTTGCAGCAGGGAAACCCCACTAGACAGCTGTGAGCATGGCACAGTCTTCCCAGGGCAGAAGCGAGAGCTAGAATACAATGGTGACACCTCACAGAGACACCTCAGCATAGACCCTCTGGAGCTGAGTGAACCCTATCTCCCACACTCAGCAGGCCTCATTGTCCGTGGAAAGTCAGACAGCTCCAGGAATTCAGAGCGCAGCCAGACCCTTTCCTAGCCAGGCAGCTTCTGGGTACCCACAGTGGGATGGCAGCTAAAAATGCCTTTGCAGTAGGTGGTTAATTTCTGCTTGTTACTTACTAATAATTATAGCTTTTACTTTGGCACCTCTCACAGCCGAAACCAGCAGCTATTCTTAGATGTGCAAGATCAGATTTTCTGATTTCTGCTGGGAATTTGAAGCTGTGATACTATCACAATTTCCTGAGCCTGACCCTTTCCCCTCCTCAGAGTTTCTCAGCCACCATGAGATTGCATCAGGCAGAGAATCTAGAGGCAACTGCAGTTTGTCCACCATAAAGAAATGAAGTCAGTTCCTAGACACATGGTATATAGGCCATTACACAAGGGTGTCTTGGACACAGAGTACTGGGGACCAGCCCTGCCCCATCAGCCTCTTTTCCATCTCTGGGGGTTTGGTTAATAGTCTTTACCTTTCGTATAGCTGGCACTTACCAAGCACAACACATGGTTCAGATACTGTGCCAAGAGCTCTGTGTTGTGACTTGAGTTCCCCTCATAACTGAGGCTGAGCTGCCAGGTCACTTGTCTTAGGTTGCAAGGCTCCCATGTTGGGAGGCCAAATTCAGAACCAACCTGTGCAGCCCGCATCCCTGCTCAGACCTTCACTCGTTCCCTGTAACATTGTCAAGTGTCTGGTTGTGTGCCAAGCTCTGCAGTGCAGTGGTCATCGAGACAGACACTCAGTCCCTGCCTTCCTAGGGTCTGCAGATGCAGAACAACAGTTGCAGAAGCCAGTGACTTCCATGTGCCAAGTGTCAGGAACAAACAGTGCAACTCCTGTGACCCCTGGAAACAAGAGGTCTTGCCAAAGCAAGATGCAGGAAGCAATAGAGCAGAGCCCAGAAGTTTGGTTAGCACTGCTCAGGAACAATGGAGAGAGGAGCCTCACCACCCTGCATGGCACAGCTCGAGAGAGTCCTGTCTGTAACATGAGCTCTGAGAGGCGAAAGACTTTGGCATGAAACTTAAAGATGGTGCAGTTATAGGACCCAAGGGGAGGCAGCGAGTCCTGTGGCCAGAGTCAGATCATGCAATAGACTGTTTCCAGTAGCCACATTAGATATGTGAACTCCAGCCTAGAAGCCCTGAAAAGCTAGGAGGTCCCATTAGGGTTTTAGGAGATCCCTCCAAGTAAGTGTGGAACGGACAGAAGGCAGCCAGGGTGGAGGCCAAGGAGGGGAGTTCCGAGTGTGTGTTTGTTATTTATCTCATTGCTGAGACAGTAACTGACAAAAGCAAATTCAGGCCTGTCTGGGCTGTGAAGTTGGTTCAAAACCATCCTGGTGATTTAGTGAGAGTCTTAAAAAAAAAAGTAAGGTAAGGATTGCGGGTGTAGGTCTATGATAGAGTATTTACAGGTTTGTCTGCAGCACACATATAACTCCGACTTCCACTCATGCTAGCAGTGGGACACAGGCAAGTTATTTCTCATCCCACTGAGCAAATGAGGAAGTTGGAACAGTCCCACTAGATCACACAGTGACATGCTCAGCATGCAGCAAAAACTAATCACATACGCATGTCTGTGTGAGAGAGTGAGGTCTGTGCCTGTGTGTGCTGTGTATATGCATGTGTGTGCTGGTGTGTGGAGACCACAAGAGGCTTCTGGTATCTTCTCTGTAGCCGTCTACTTTGCTTTCTTGACAGGGTCTCACCAAACCTGAAATCTCCCATTGTTGGTTAGGCTGGCAAGCCAGCAAGCCCCAGTCAGTGGTCTTCTTGTCTCTAACCCACCCAAGAGCTGGGCTTAAGGACACACACAATCATACCTGACTTTTTACATGGGCCTTGAGGATCTGAACCGGGGTCCGCATGCTCACCCACTGAACCATCTCCCCAGGCCAGGAAGAACTCTTCTGAAGGAGGCTGTGTGGGACACTAAAGACAAGTTATCCAGGGGATCTGCAGGGAGGGAATTGCTGGGGGTCCAGACAAGATCAGTGCTAGTGGAGTGTTGGGCTGCAAACCATCTGCCAGGGGTGCAGATTGGATGACGGGAAGTGTAGGCAGCCAGAGTGCAGCATCCTTGCACAAAGAATCCCTGTGGATCAGCACAGGGGAGCTGGGGAGGCAGTGGAATGAGAAAGATCGGGGTGTGCAAAATGGCTGGTATCGATGTTGATGACAATGTGGATAACCCAGTAAAGAACTTCAGCGTCCTAAAGACAGGAGTTGTGTGGAGGTACAGAATTCTTCAGACAGCCAGAGAGCTGGGTGGGGGTGCTCAGACCCAGCACAGGGTGCAGAGTGGGTGGGTGCAGAGAACATAGCTTGTCAGTGTGGTGGCAGGAAGAGACTCTGCCTTGCAGCCTTCTGGCTCCTCATATTGATGAGTCAAGGTCTCCAAGTGAGTGACTCCACACGAGAAAGTCCCTGAGTCAGATCAGCTGGGTCGTGGCCTAGAAAGGGTGAAGTGTCTCACTGGTGGGATGAGGAGCGTGTCTCACTCTCCCACTGAACCCCTGGAAAGGAATGGCTCTTGACGGACTGGTATCGCCAGGCAGAGACTCTGAGACAAATGGAAGCTGTGTGGTTAAGGCCCTGGCAAAGACATTTATTTGGCTAGGCCATCAATGAGGGCAGGACCTGGGCTATGCTCAGCTTGGGGACTTCAGGGCCCATCATTGGGGTCTGCCCCAGAAAGGCAGAGGGTGAGGCAATACTACAACAGAATCTCTTCCTCCACTCATGCTGACCCCTCCCCAGACAGAGCAAAACACTAGTGAAATGAGGGCTGAGGAGGATGGAGTTTCCTGGGCCCTGATGGCTTGAATTTTGTATGACAGAGAAATTCCAGGGAACATAGCAGGCATGTGCTCAGCACCTTTTGCACCCCAGACCCCTGTGTGCATCCTGCTAACACATCCCTTCCCTCTATGGCGTCCCTCTCCAGGGAGTCTGAGGTAAAAGAAAGTCTGGGGGGATCAGACACTACTACCTCTGTCTGCCTGTTGACTTGTCCCAAGTGACAAGGAATAGTCGGTGCTGTATCTCATCAAGTGCTGCCTGCCACACACAGGTGACTTGAAAGATGTATCTGCCAGCGCCTAATCCAAGTTCAGTTCTCAGGGCCGTCTCTAACAGACTGCTCCTTCGAGTTTCATAAAGGAGACCCCTTCTGGATGTACCATGCCCCCAAAAGCCCTTTTGTCATGATTTTAGTCTCAGAAAAGCAAGCTCCAGAGGGCAGAGCCACTGCTCTGTGTGGGGGCTGTGGTCCCCTTGTCCTGTGCTCATGTCAGCCCTTCCTCTGTGATGAGCAGAGCCAAGAGCAGCTTCTGTCCTAATGCTGATGAGCATGAAGTAGGCCCTGGGATGACTGTCTTCAGAGGTTGGGGCAGAGCCCAGGCCGACCTCACTGTTGTCAGTTTGTTAATGACATATGTCTGCCCTTCAAGGACCAAAGCACAGGTGACCTGGGCACAAGTGGGCACAAAAGACTGTTGGCCTATGGCCATGTCCAGCGGGGTAGGGGAACAGCTGGCTGTGGGCCCTGCCAGAATACCAGCCGCCACAGGGTCTCTGAGGGCAGTGGTCCAGGAGAGCATCTGTTCTCTGCTCTTCCCTGACAGCTGAGGTCTACATTGGCATTGGGAAGCCTGCTGAAGCCACAGCCTGTATCCAGGAAGCTGCCAACCTCTTCCCAATGTCGCACAATGTGCTATACATGCGAGGCCAGGTTGCTGAGCTCCGAGGAAACTTCGATGAGGCCCGGCGGTGGTATGAAGAAGCCTTATCCATCAGCCCCACCCACGTGAAGAGCATGCAGCGACTGGTAAGTCTGAGGCCAAGGCCAGGGTTCCCATTTCCTGGATTGGGGCTCTCCTTGGAAACAGCATGTAGCCTACAACCCTCATGCCTACTGGTTCCCAAGGCCAAATACAGTTAGCCTGTTGAAATACAACATGGCACGAAGCCAGGCAGTTCCTGTGATACCTTGAGAGGTGGCATTAACCAGCCACAATGTCTCACCCAAGGTCCTACTAGGTGCAATGGGGCAATTGGGTCAGCAATCCAAATCACCCTGTGGCAAGGACAATCTTAAGTGTCGGTCTCCATCATTGCTGTCTGGGCCTGTGCATTGCTTGCAGCAGTCACCTTAAGGAAATATACATACCAGAGACTTCAAAGGTCGCTTACACTGAGGGAGCTGGAGGTTCCAGTTTGTTTCCAGGATCCTGGCCAGTAGGGAGCATCCCATTATACAAAGGAGGGATACCCATGTTGCATAGAGGAGTACATTGCCCTGCTACCTCCACCCCTGGGGATAAGCCATCTTTGAGAGGCCTTAGAGTAGACCACTTGCCATCTTGGTGTCATTCCAGAAGGTTGTGGCCATCAAAGATGTGTATGGGTTGCCCTCCCCAACAGAGCATCCCGTCTGCATCTCCTTCCTGGTGGGATTCTGACTGAACACAGAGGTCTGTGTTGGGTTCTGAGCTGGTGGAAGGCAACAGGGCCTCCTCTGCCAAGCTCTGGTTCTGAGCTCATTTGGTTCTTAGCAGAGGGCCTCTCTCATGTCATAGCCCACAGGAAAGAGGACAGCCTTGCAGGAAAGGTGAGATAGGTGTCTTTCACGTCTGTGGCCCTGGGGAACTCATGGCCATCATCAGAAAAACATGTGTGGGATGGGATCAAGGCACTGGTCACAGAATCTGGGGACAGAGATCAGGTCCCAGTGGTGGGTGCCTCACTCTCTTTAACTCCAAGAAGGGCCCAGAAGCTTTCTGTGCCTCCATGTCCTTTTTTGCAAGAAGTCCTGTTAGACTGGCTGTGTGCCTAGACTGAGAGGGTGTGGTTTTGTAACTGTTCCATCAGATGTGCTCAGAAGGGTCCCAAAGCTTTCACTCTCTCGCCGTTTCTCATCAGTTCTGGACAGTGTAGAGGACTACGCTGTAAAAATTCTGTGTGTGAGGGGAGCTTGCACCTGAGGGTTAGTTCTCAACCTGAACCTGGAACTTTGGCACTTCTGTGATCTGGGCTGCTGTTTACCCTGGTGGGCTGTGTGAAGTGAGAACTAAACAAACAAGCCCAGCAGAGTTCCTGGTGCCTAGTAGGTGTTCATTAAGTAGAAAACCAGTGGCCACCATTTTCAGTTTCCAAAATGAATCCAGCCTTGTAATGTTTGCAGTCACTCGCTTTTTTCCAGGATTCCTTTCATTAGCACTCTAACTTGATGCAGCTTTATAAATAATTTCACTTATTAGCCAAACATTAGTCTGTTTGATTAAAGGTATTACCTGGCTTTTAATTTTTGTCTCACTGTTGAAAGCGGAATGTGTTAAGAGCTTTTCTGGTCTCCCAGCCTTTGGTAGATTGTTGCAGAAGAATTAAACACAAAGTGCCCAGTCTTATTAAAAAGAAGTAGCTGCTCCTATCTCAGGGCCTATGAATTATTCAGAGGAATGTTCTTGTTCATCCCCAGGGAGAACACTTGAGACAAAAGATCAATAGGAAAGTCACCTGGGAGAGGTTTCTGTTTTCCCTAGAGCTCTTCAAGCCCCCTGCTCCTGACAAGTGGTTTCCCTTATGAGAGGCCAGCCAGGTGGCCAGCACAGGGGACATGAGACAGGCCTCTGAGCCTCACCAGGCTGGGAGACACCCTCCACCTTTGTGGTCTTGCCAGGGGGAGCATGTAGTAATCACAGAGCCACAAGGCCTTTCTCTGTATATCCTAATGTCTTCAGAAACCTCCCAGATTGAAGACAGGCTGGGAGCAGCCAGCTTGCACATTTGGGGCAGTTCAGCTTCCCCTGCTCGGTGGCTCTGCCCAGTGCCTGTGCTCAGGGATCCAAAGAGCTTGCAGAGCTCCTCCCTGCTGATCTTGGGCATGATGCTCCCTGGCCAGCGTTTTCCCCTCGCCCTGCCACAGACAAGGGCAGGTCTTCCTTCTGGAGTGCTGGGTCTTCTAGTGCTTGCAGAGAGTCTTTGAAACCCATGCATCTTCAGCATTGAAAGATCAAGACCTTGATCCATCTGCATAAAGCAAGGCAGCTTTTCAGTGTCTTAGAGATCAAGAAGTTGACTCACAGTTTATTGCAAGGCCAGGCAGGGGTTTTGGACAGGCCTGGGCTAGATTCCCGGTACTGTTACTCATTGCCTTTTGGGGCTTTGAGGCAGATACTCCTCTCCTTGTGCCTCAGTTTCTTCATCTACATAACTAGGGGAAATGTTAGCACCAGTTGCTCTTAAAGGCTAACCACACAAGCGATCCCAAACCCTTTTGTTGACTCACAGATGTCTTCAGCATCCCAGGAACCAGGCTAGTCTGTGAGCCCCTGAGTTCCTTGAAAGCAGAGTGCAGAAATCTGGGGAATAGATGAGGCTCTGGGTTTTGGGGGCAGCAAGAGGCAGAAACAATGATGAGTGCTGAGTTTCCTGGTACCCAGAAGAGAGTAAGAGCAGCCAGGAGGCCAAGGCACACCACTCCATGCCACATCAGAGCCCAAAAGGATCCAGAAGTAACAGGTGGAAGAGCACAGACCAGAAACCATCAGAAAAGGAACTGAGAAGGTCTCAGGATACGGAACCATGGGAGGCAGACCATGGTCACAGGGAAAACCTAAGGACAGAAAGTTTGTCCATGGCAGCCCCAGTGCTCAGAAAGAAGAGCCGAACAGCTGAAAGGTGGTCTCCAGGAGTTGTCCAGAAAGCAGGATGCCATGTTGCCTGACACAGGTGGAGACTGGCAGCTCGTAGAGGCTGCAGAGAACCGCAGGGCACAGGCAGGAGTCTGGCTGGGCTTGCACTCAGGATAATGCCTCCCTAACTTCTAGGGATGTGAGTGGCACATGGCCACTTTATGCAGAATGCAAATGTGTTTGCTTTGTTCAAAAGCAAAGATAAGGCACGTCTTATTGATAAGAGAAAGTGGGTAAATGTAAATTAAACCCAAGGGAAATGGATAATTTCCTAACAGTTACAGCCTTCATCTATGTGTTTCACTTCATATATGGTGCAAAAGAAGAAAAGAACAAAGGTGTTGTCTGGTAGTCATTAGCCCAGGCCAGGAGGCAGGGACTGAGTGTGGACAGGTATTAAGCAAACAATAAGTTCAAGTGACAAGGAATTGCAAATCTGTGGAGGAATTCTCAGAGTGATCAGACTTTTCCCCCAGAAAACCTAAAGGAATGTTTTCAATGTTAGATTGCATAAATGTATAAATTTGCATTTATTTGCTGGCTATGTTAAAAGTCCTTTAGCTCGCAGTACCGGCAGTGCATTAATGAAACATGGGCCAGCTTTTCCCAGAGCAGTCATTCTGTGGAGGGAAAAGAGAAGAAGGTGCACAGTGGTGGCCAGTGGTGGCCTCAGGGAGAAGACACTCTGCCTGGGCTAGACTTTGCAGGCCAAGGACAGGCATAGAGACTGGGAGCATCCAAGGACACAATTACCAGGACAGGAACAAGATCTACAAATAGGGACATCTGGCTGCTCTCTGGCCACATCAGGCTGGGCTTTTGAGGGCAATGTGTAAGAGAAGGACGAGGACTTTCTGAAGCAAAGGTGGAAGGCAGCCAGGAGGGCTGTGAGGAGGGGAGTCATTAAGACCAGAAGGGAAGGTGTTGCTGGGCAACAGGCAGGCATCGTGAGTGGCAACAGGAGGCCTGGGCCTGCCTCTGCTGAGCTTGACAGGGTGAGGAGAAGGTAGAAAACAGGAGCAGATGTGGGGCTCATCCAAGGTCTGGTGGAGTAGACAGTGTGGGGGTGGGGAGGGGGAGAGGAAGAGGGAGGGGAGCCGAGATGCCCAGAGCACAGGAAGGCATCAGGAGGAGGCAGTGCAGAGAGCCACAGCAAGGGCCAGCAGGGGTGACACCATGGAGTCTGAGAGCAGCAAAGCCTTTCTCTCTCATCTCAAATGAACATAACAGGATGCTAGAGCTCTGAACAAATCAACAGCCACCAAAACACCAGGTCCTTTGTCTCTGGAACTCAGTGGCATTCACAGACAACAGGAGGGCAAGCTTAGCTTCATGAGGTTATAGTTGGGAATTTAAGAAAAAGAAGGCAGAGCTTCAGTGTAGTAGGAGTGAGTCCTGGAAAATGAGGTACCATAAATAAAGCTGCTTAGTCTGGGGGCCTTGTGAAAGAAGGTGGGGTGAGGCATGGGGAGATGAGCTGGTCCGTCTGCTCAGTCCACCAATGAGATGCTCACTGCCTCTCAGCTTCAGCTACATCCTCACAAACAGCTTCCAGGCAGGGGTGCTCATTTAGGTTACGTAAAAAGAAAGAAAGATAGCAAAAAAAAATCAGAGAGGAACCAAGTTCCCTCTAGCCAAGGCAGAAAGAAACAAGACCATTCCCAGCTTCTGACCAAGACCTGCCCTAGAACTGCCTGCGTTCAAGGTCCCTGCCTGATCCTTTCTACCTCCTGTTCTCACCAACACCGCCCCCAACGTTCTTCACCTCTGGCAGAAACAGCAAACAGGAAGGACCAGCCTACCCTCCAGAGGAATGAGCAGCCCTCAGAGATCAGGCATCCCCAGAGGAAGAAGAGATAACAGTCTGAGAGGGGAAGGGATGGGATGAAGCCCAGCCACCTGCAGCTGCTTGCAGGTCGCTGCTTGGTGGAAGGGCACACTTTGGATTTCTATCGGGGGTGTGTCATAACTAGCTTTTGTCTGGAGCCTGGCATACCATGTTTGTCTTCTGGGGAGGGACTGTGAGACAATTACCCCTCATAGTTGGACAAAGATGCCTTCAGGCTAAAGGACTCATACACAGGCTGGCTCTCATGGTCTCTGAAGCATAGGCTCTGGACTGGCAGAGGGAGCT